CCCCCCCGCCGCACCCGCACGTTCTCCATCAGCCCCAGGTACCGGATCTGCGCCAGCACCAGCTCTGGCGTGAAGAGCATTGCTGTTTTGGTCTCGTTGGGTTTGATGCACCTGGGGAGGGCAGTGGTGGGCTGGGGGGGTCCCACTGGCACCAGAGACAGGGCCGGAGCTCCCTCCCAGGGCTGGTACCTGATGTAGTTGGGGTTCTTGGAGTAGAGGTTCTTCATCAGCGTTGCTACTGAGGCCTTGAACTGGAAGCCTGCGGTGGGGGGCAGCTTGAGGGAGACCCTCTGGGGGTCTCCCTCAGGGAAGAGGGAGCGCAGCAGTGTGTGCTGGGCAGCCCACATGGCCTGCGAGAGGTCGCGGAAGAGCAGGTCGTTGTTCTTCTCAATGAAGCCCGTCACGTTGTAGGTCACCTGGGCACAGGAGTGGGGTCAGTTCTCAGCGGGTGCATGGGGGGGCTGCACTCAGGGAGCGAGGAGGGAGCGAGCGGGTTACGGTTCAGTGTCTCCATGCCCACTCCCAGTCCAGCCCCACATCACCCATGCAAAGCTGGGAAGAGAACCCAAGGGTCCTGGCTGCCCCCAGTGGGGCCAGGGCTGCAAGTGCCAGCAGGTGCCCACGGCCACTGGCGGACCTTGCCAGCATAGTGGTGGATGCGGAAGCATTGTGGTGGCAGGCTGGCGTCCATAACATGCCGGGCGTTCTGGGTCTCCTTGCTCTCATAGTGCTTGTGGGTGGCGAAGAGCTGGTTCAGCTTGGTGAGGAAGGTATCCTCGTTGACTGCTCCGGGCCGCAGGCACTCCTCATCCAGCATGGCCAGGATTCCGCACTTGCTCTGCACCATGATGGACAGCGTCACCCCAAACCGGCCCTGTCCCTGAGCAGCGGCTCCATCGAACCGGGGCTGCTCCGGGCTCTGCTCAGCCCAAATTCGTGCAGGGAGCAATGCAGGGGAGCTGGGACCCTGACCCGGGCCCCTGGCACAAGGGGGCAACTCACGTTCTCGATCAAGTTGCAGATGATGCTGTTGTCGAAAAACTCCACTGGGGTCCACTGGATGCCCTGGGAGCAGACAGGGGTCAGACGCACGGACCCCTGGACACATGGCTCATGGACCCTGCCCCACGGACAGCCCCCAGCTGATGTGGGGCAGGAACCGGATGTCTGGCCACGGGAACGGGGATCCTGAATCCCTCCCTGCCTTCCTGCTATTGAATCTGCTCCCGGCAGGGAGCGGGGCGAGGGAGGGACATGCTGTGGAGCTGTCTTTGGCACTTCCCCATCCCTGGGGGACCAAGGCTTCTCGGGGCCGTGCTCTGGCACAGGCAGAGGGGCCACATCCAGCCTGACTGGCACGGGCAGGGAGTACCTCTCGGACGTATTCCTCCTGCTCCTCCTTCAGGGTCATCAGGATGAAGATCTGCTGCAGCTTCTCATTGCAGTAGTTGATGATGAACTGCTCAAAGCCGTTGTCCTGCGAGAGAAGGGTCCTGCGTGGCAGGTCATGCCCGAGCCCCTGGCCCTGCCCCACATCCCACCTGCTGCTCCCGGCCCCCCCCCAGTAGCAGGATGGGGCTGGGTGGGCTCTGCACTCACCTGGAAGATCTCGAAGCCGGAGCTGTCCCGGACAA